TCACATAGAGAATTAATTAAAGCTTGGCACACACAATCCTCCTCTGAGCCAAACTTAGGCCTAAACACTGAAGGATTACAAATGGAGTTTTTGGGCCAGTTAAAACAGCAATACTGTATCATCTTTTGCTTTTCCTTGTCCCTGGCTCAAGAGTTGTCCCTCCAAACCTGCAACATTCTCTCCAAAGGTCTATCTGGGGGAATGTCAGAGGGAGTCCCTTTGGCTCCCTCTTTCCTTTGTCCCCCAGGCCTAGAATTCCTATTTCCCATTTTCAGCCAGTTTCTGTGTCTGAGCTTTTCCCGGTGTACTCAACTCCCTGCTACTCAAGGTTTCTTGCACACCCTGAGAATCGCTTCATCTGTCTTTGGCCATTTCCCTAGTGGAAGAATGTAATCATGAATTGAGACTCTGTACTCAATTCATATCTAGAATATGTCTCAGTCACACACTTGCCCTCTGAAAATGCCCAACCACTAAGGCAGTGCTTATAGTCCATTTTTTCCTACCTTGGCTCATGCACAAGTTTGCCTGGTTGCCACAGTGCCTGCTTTTTTCCCCTGTGTGGCACCTCCACTGCCTCCTGAATAACAGTCTTGGGTTTGTCTATGGCCTCTGCAGGGAGCCAGGATGCCAGGACATAGTAGACTACCTAAATTGGGTGAGACACATCTCTCCTCTCAGCTGAGGACCCACTCCATACAGGCACAGAGATTCCAGATGGGCCCCCAGGTTTGTGAGAAACACACATTCACTCATCCAAACCCAAAGGATGAACTCAAAGACATGAAGAACAGCAGAAGTGAAGCTTTTAATGGTGGTCTTGCAAGATTGGGTGTGTGGTAGGCAAGCACACCCGGGATAGGTATAGCAAGTAATTTATCTTGTAGCACACAAGTCCCTCCCCGGTCAAGTACTATGGGATTACAATCTTCCTGGATGTCACCTAAGTTTCATTATCGCCATTATAAGGTTATACCCCTGTCCTCTTCCCCACTTAAGTTTTGATTTCCCAATAGCAAAACTTTCTTCCTTTTTTTTTCCTATTCTTTTCTTTTCTTTTTTTTTTGAGATGGAGTCTCACTCTGTTGCCCAGGCTGGAAGGCTGGAGTGCAGTGGCACAATCTTGGCTCACTGCAACCTCTACCTCCTGGGTTCGAGTGATTCTTTTGCCTCAGCCTCCTGAGTAGCTGGGACTACAGGCATGTGCCACCATGCCCAGCTAATTTTTTATTATTAGTAGAGATGAGGTTTTACCATATTGGCCAGGCTGGTGTCAAACTCATGACCTCTCATGATCTGTCCACCTCGGCCTCCCAAAGTGCTGGGATTACGGGTGTGAGCCACTGCACCTGGCCAATTTCTTCCCCTTTACGGGTTGACCCCTCCTCTACATTCTGTTAACTTATCACCTTCTAGGTCTATGAGCTGTGTGGTTCCTGTTACATCCACAGGCTGGCTGCCAGTACTTAGATTTACCATGCCTTGAAAATGGACCATTTATAGCTGGGCATGGTGATGCATGCCTGTAATCCCAGCTACTTTGGAAGCTGAGACAGGAGAATCACTTGAACCTGGGAGGCAGAGGTTGCAGTGAGCCAAGATTATACCACTGCACTTCAACCTGGGTGACAGAGCGAGACTTCCCAACAAACAAACAAAGAAACAAACAGCAACAACAAAAAAGAAAATGGACCATTTAAAATGTTTTCTCACAGTCTCAGACTGGTTTTCTTTTTAAGAGGAGGTTAGGGCAATTTAACTGATACTATACAGATGAAAATGGAAAAGAGTGAGATAAAATCTCAGGTGATACTTTTGGTTTAATGCTTTTGGTTTTGTGAAACATTATCCTAGCCTTTAGAGCAGTGAAGCAAAGCTTAAGAGGGCTTGCTGTGCCTAGAACTTTCATCTATAGGCCTGCTTTTGTCCCTTGTTTGTTATGTCCACCAAGCAGCTCAACCTTTAGTCATAGCTGGATGTTAAACCCAGGCCTACTGGGCTGTAACACTCACACTATTACCTCTATATTAAACAGTCACCTTACTGTCACCTAAAATGATTCTTTTTCCAATTTTATGTCCCCTTCTTTTCTCATCATTGTCATCTAACAGCCTAGAGGTTCTTTACCCATTTTCTTTTCTTTTTTTTTTTTTCCCCACCAGTTGTTAAATGACCTTTATTGAAATATTTTCCTTTGTGCTTCTTAACTAGCTGGGCATTCCACAGCACCGCTGTTGATGTCATCTATGATGTCATGAGGGTGGCGGCCATCAACATTACAGCCCACAGACTGGGCAGTCCCCAGGATGGTTCCAGAGAGTTCTCTGGCTAAAGATCAGTGCTGCATCTATCGAGCAATGTTGACAATCTCATTGAAAGTGATATTCCCGCTGTGTTTAATGTTTTTCTGTTTCCTTCTGTCCTTGGTGGTTCCTTAGGGCTTTGATGATTAGGGCAGAGGCAGAAGGCACCACCTCAATCTGGGCCTGTCTGTTCTGAATGGTCAGTTTCACTGTAATCCTCAGGCCCTTCCAGTCACCTGTTGCCTTGGCAACGTCATCACCAACCTCTTTTGGAGACAGACCCAGGGGGCCAATCTTGGGGGCAAGTGCAGAAGTGGCACTGACTTCACCCCCAGTGCACCTCAGGTATACAACTTTGATCTCATTGGGGTCGAACTTTGGCAGCATGGTGGAGGCGGCTGGTGTCAGATGAACCCGGATTTGGGACGACTGAAGAAAGTTGCACCTTGGCCTCCTCCGAGCCGAAAACTGAAAGCCTTTACCCATTTTCGTAGAGGCCCCTGGCTCAGTTCATCTTTCCTCCCCAACTCCTGCTTTTCTCCTGAACCACAGCACAGTTAGTCCATGTCAATGAGCTATTCAACATTATTTAGTGGTTATTTGCCTCCTTCAACCCAGGAGGCATATTCTCCATCTAGTCTAGAGCACAAAAACCATGATTATCCAGGGGATAATCATCAAGAAATATATTACCTCTGAAATCTTATATTTTAGTGTTTTTCTTTCCAACTGTCTTATTCCTTCGCAAACTACCCCTGCTTGTATATATCATAATGACCTCTAGGCCTTAGTCTTTCTTTAATTGTTCAGATCTCTCCTGTCTTCTCTGCCCTTCTCACACTTGGATGGCAGGCAGTGCAGTCACTCTCTCTCCAGCACTCATTTCTGTGCAGTTTCTTCTGACAATTGGATGAAAGCTTTGCCTAGACTGCTAAGGGTCTCTAGAGAAACAGCACAACTGTGAAATTCTGAGCCTCTCTTCACTCTTTGTTTCTCTGTCAGAAGGAGAGGGTCCCTCCTCTCAAGATTCAGCTTTCCTGCTTTGCTCTTGTTCCCTTACGGTACCTCATTTAATGGACCACCCCTTGGCTTTCCTCTCAACTGGCTGCTCATCTCCCTGCTAAACAGGCCACATTATTACCTCCATTTTGCTGTTGAGAAAATAAGGTTCAGAAGAACTACAAGGCTGATGACAAGGTTGCCCCATGGTCTCACATCTGTAAGTGGCTGAGCCAAGAATTAAACTCAGGTCTCTCCCTCTCTAAGCCCCACATTATTTCTACTCTGCAAAGCAGAGTTTACCCTAATCTTCTTCTCTACCTTTCTCTCTATCTACTACTCTCTATTCCTTCCTATAAAACTTCTCTCCATCCTGATCCACTCCAAATCATGATGATTTCAGTCCTCACCATTCCACTATATTGAAATTGGTTAATTAATGCCTATGCATCCTCTAAACTTTAAATCCCATACAGGCAAATATCATATCATGCTCATCATTGTATCTCTAGGTCCTGAAGAAAGGAACTGCTCTCCCTAAAGAAGTCATAAGTAACCTGCAGAATTCTGAGTCAAAGGACCGTTCAGTTCTCCTCCTTGACCTATCAGAGTATTTAGTATTGCTGACCACTCAAGCCATCTTTACCCTTCTTCTTCCCCTCCCCTGGCTTTGGTGATGCCACTCTCCTTGTTTTCCTTCTACCTCTCTGATCCCCACATACAAATTCAGCCTTTTGATTTATCTTATGTAGGTCCATCTCTTTTCATCCCTGATGCCACTAGTATGGTTCAGGCCACCATAGTCTCCCATCTGGACTAGTCTAACAGCCTCTTCATGTGTCTCTTGGCCTCTAGGCCTGTCTCCCTTGAATCACACTCTATTATGTGCAGTTATACTGATGTACAGTGTGATCATTCCAAAACACAAATATAATGTTGCCACTTCCCTTCTTTGGACTCTTAAATAGTTACAAATTGCCTGGAGTAAAAATTCAAATGCATTATCATGATAGATAAGGCCTTTCCTCATGTGACTTCTGATTACCCATCCAGCCTCATTTCCTTCCATATGCCCTACTTTCCTCTGTTTTAGGAAAACATGGGCCTACCAGTGAGCTTCCCTGTCTGCCATGTTTATTAGTGCTTCTGTGCCTTTGTCTTTGGCTGTTCCTTTTGCCTATAATGGGTATTCTCTTCCTCATGTTTTTCTTCCCCAGTGAATTTGAGTTGGATTTTCCTTCAGATTCAACTCAAATTCATTTTCTCTCTTCATTGTTCGTGATTATCCCTCCTCTATGTTCCCACAGAATTTTGTACACAAAGCTATTTTTGAACACATCTCTTTATAGCTTACTAGATTGGGACCTCCTTTAGGAAAGGGATTGAGATTTTCTTTCTTTGCAATCATAGGGTTAGCATGATGTATGTATACTAAAAGTTTAATGAATAAATGAATGTGTGAACAAATGAAACTCATGCAGAAGGAAGGGGATAAAACTTTGAAGCCAGAGACAGAAGCTTGCTTTCAGCTGATTACTTAGTGTACTCTGAATGAGTGACTATTTTTCAGAAAGTAAAAATAAGACTCTTAAAAATAAGGACAAATGCAGTTAGCCAAGCCAAAATATAGCATTCACTTAATTATCCTCTTCTCACTGGATACTGAGAATGATTTTAGGACCCACAAGTCCTAGAGAGTCAGCCAGGAAGCTCCTTATGTGAGGGCAGAGACAGGAGCTTCTTGGAGGGGAACTGTAGTCGTGTCCTTTGGAACAGAGTTGCCAGGTGGTACTTGATTTCCTTAGTTCTTGTCCCGTAGATGATGGGGTTGACTAGACATGGGAGCAGCAGGTAGAAGGTGCTGAGCAGGTTGTGCACATCCTGGGAGGCAGTGCGGGCTGTACGATAGACAATGGATGAGGACATGGTGGATGAGTAGACAGTGAAGATGACCAACAGGTGAGAGCCACATGTGTTCAGGGCCTTGGAGCGTGCACTACCTGAGGAAATCCTGAAGGCAGCATGGATAATATGGAGGTAGGAGGTGCCTAGTAAGAGCATGTCTAGGACTCTGTTGAAGATGCGGACAGTGAGCCCCACAGTCTTGTTTAGGGAGATGTCTCCACAGGAGAGCTTCATGAGGGCCATGTGCTCACAGGCAAAGTGCTGGATCACGTCTGAGCAGCAGAAGTGAACCCTGGAGGCCAGAAACACCACTGGAGCTACAATGCAAGTGCTCCTGGTAGCTGCTGCTCCCACCAGGCCAGCCAGCAACCGACCTGTCACTATCTCTGGGTAGCGGAGTGGGTAGCAGATGGCAACATAGCGGTCCAGAGCCATGACCAGGAGGATGTTGCAGTCAAAGACAATGAGGAAGTAGATGCAGAACATCTGGATCAGGCAGCAAGCCAGGGAGATGCGGTTCCAGTGTGTAGAGAAGCTAAAGAGCATGGCGGGCACCACGGTGGAGGCAGCACAGATGTTGACAGCCAGGAGTAGGGCAATGAGCAGGTACATGGGCTGGTGCAGGCTCCGCTGGGTCAGCACTGTGTGGATGATCAGGGCATTGGTAAAGATAATCATTAGGTAGAGGCTGAGGAAGGGCAGCAACAGGAGGGCACGGGACTCCCTCAGCCCTGGGAAGCCCACTAGGAGGAAGCTGGTGTAGGACACATTGGAACTTCCATTGCTCCACCTTGACATCTTTCCTGGGTGAGTGAGGTAGTTCTGGAGAAAGAAGGAATAGGAGGTCTGGTTTCTGTGTCCAGCCCTGCCAGCTTCAGCCTCACCAAGCTGGACTGGGCGCTTTGACCTCCATGGGCCTCCAGTGTTCCTAGAGAGAGAAGGAAAAGTTATGTTTCAACATTTAGTGATATGCTTCCATAAATAACTTTTCATAGCTCTAACTTGCTTCTTTTTCTTTTTCTTTTTTTTTTCTATATGAAGTCTTCACTTGTTTTTTTTTACTAACAAACTCTTATTGAGGACTTATTTTGTGCTAGGCTGTATTCTGGGGCTTAGGGTACACAATGAGTAATTGACTATCTATGTCTTGAATGAGCTCACATTAGGCTGAACAAGACTGAAGTGACAAGTAAGAAATAAAGTGCAGTGATTAACAGGATGTTAAAATAGGACCCTTTCTGCTTCAGATTCATCTGATGTGCCCAAAGCCCAAGAACAAAATGCAAGGCAAGTACTCCTTTCTTCATCCACCTTGAGGTGCTGGAGTAGCCTTCCTATATGGGATTTAAGAGGAGGTGGCTGAAAATTGTTGTTGCAGTCTTTAGTCCAATATGTACCTGGAGAGTATAAAACGTTTGGGGTTGGAGAGTCTGAGAGAGAAAGCCTTTGGAGAGAACTGGTATTTTCCTTTACCACATTCCACAGTCGAAGGAGGGTAGCAGAAAAGGGAGATTACTCCCCAGCCTGACCAGGAAGCCCTGGATGCTTTGGCCTCTGTGAATTACATTTCTGTAGAGAAAAGGAAGAGGTTTTTGTTACCAGTTGGTGAGATGCTTCATGAAATAACATCATTCTATAGCTTCTTTTGTCCATTTTGCTTTCTCGTTTATTTTTTATTTATTTTGTTTACTTTTTTCTTTTTTACTATTTTTTCTGCTTTCTTATTTTTATTCAGTTACTATTTATTTATTTTTTTCTTTACATCTTTCTGAGCATCTACTTTGTGCTGGACCATATGCTGGATGCATGGATACAACAATAAGCAACATTTTTGTTCCCCGAGTGAGTCTGCATTCTACTGAGTAGGCTAGTAATGACAAACAATGGTCGAAATACAGCATGTAACAGTGTACTCAACAAACACATCCCAAAATGCTGTCTGTTTTTTACATCTGTCAAGCCCAGGTCAGTTGAGGCCATGTCTACTTTTGATCTATCTCCATTCCTGACTTGGTGAGGTGAAAAGCCATCAGTCACAAACTAGGGAGAGGAAAGAAAGGATAGAGAAAAGATTAAGAGACAATTCTGACTAGCTCCCATTTCCCACCGTGGGCATCCAGTTTGAAGGAGGCACAGGTGGTGGGGGTGGTGCTGGTGCAATTTCTAATTTCAGAGTTTGGGGCTTTTATAGTTAGATGTGTGTAGCTATTTGAATGGTTAATATCAGGTGGTCTTTGAAATTAAAAGTGATCCAAGGACTTTAAAAATATTTTTAAAAGAATTAACAAAGTAATAATGAAACTTCTGGAGATTTTTGTCCAAGGAGCAACACAGATCAGACCTGAATGGAGAATAGGCAGAAAAACTAAGCTGTTTTGATGCTCCCTTTGGAGTTTCACTCTTCCAATGAAATGATGTAAGAAGAGCTATAGGGTCAGGCACAGTGACTCTTGTCTGTAATTCTAGCACTTTGGGAATCTGAGGTGGAAGGATTGCTTGAGATTCAGGAGATTGAAACTAACCCGGGCAATATAATGGGACACTGTCTCTACAGAAAATAATAAAGAAAATTAGCTGGGTGTTGTGGTGCACACCTATAGTCCCAGCTTCTTGGGAGGCTGAGGTGGGAGGACTGCTTGAGCCCAGAAGATTGTGGCTGTAGTGAGCCATGATCAAGATATTCAGAAGCATGGTGGATGAAGATCTGACTGTGTCTGCTGTAGGTTGGGAGAGGAATGAGAGAAAGATTTATTGAGGAAAACCAAGTCCAGTAAATGCTTTACTGAGTTCAGGTATGCTAGGTTCTTCCAGTTTTAGCAAGTGCATAAAAATGGAACTGATATGTAGTTATCTAGAGATATTTGACAGGGACTAACTTTAAGTTGAACAACCTGTAATTGACCTTAGCCTTTTTCCCTTTCCTTTTTTCAATCTTCAGATATTTCCAAAGATTTCTTATGAATGTACTGCAGAGAAATCCCAAATCCATGTTCAAATTCTTTCAGTCAGCATAAGTACTTTGTTTAAGCAAGAGATTTGAATTTTACTGGCATTGTCAGATGCTCTCTTAGAATCTCTTACCATGATAGGGAATGGGCTTCAGTTCTTTCCGCCATCCTTGTTATGCCTTTTGTGGTTTTAAGCTATTTTCACATGATATGGGGATAGAAACAAAGTGGAAGATGAGCAATTTCTTTGTTCTTTTTTTTTTTTTTTTTTGGCATGGGTCGCTTACTTTAATAACAATACATATACCATGTTATCATGATGGAATGTAAATTCAGTTTAGACAAGAGAATTTCACAAGTGTAATAGCATTCTGTACTATATAAAAGTTTGGGTATACTGTCTGGCCAAACCAGCTCGCTCATAAGTCATTAATCAAATCCATTATAGGTCATTTGTTCAGTTTAATGTTTACAATTCTTATGGAAAAAATAAGCAATGCACACATTTAAAAAGTGTTCATTTACCTTTGCTATGAGTGCTTAAAATACATATTTCTATTTCAAGATGACATTTAAAATTTATTCTAATAAACAGCAGCAAAAATATAATTCGCAGTTAAACAAGAACTAGAGTCCATAAGTTATTCTCATGTTTACAACTGAGATCCTTTAATAAATACTGCTATTATGCAACTCTGTAAGCTTCCTACATTTGGTTTAAACACATGCACATATACATATTGTTAGTTGTGGGAAATTTTACAAGTTATATTCCATGAACTTTTTGGACAGAGTTCTAAAAGGGCCAGCTTGTCCACAGAATAGGCAGAAAAAAGTTAAATTAACTGGGGCAAATAAGGCTCTTATATAACATCCAAAACATCAGAGATTCTGCAGCAAACTGGGAGTACTTCAGGGTTGGCCCTTTATCTTTAGAACTAAGTTCATCTTACCAAATTAAGAAGGTGGACATTTCAACATCATCAAGTGCATTTAGGTGACATGTTTCTTTCAAGTTAACTTGACTTCCTTGAATGACCTAGTTAGTAAACTAGCCACTAGTAATGTAGTCACACCAGGCAAATCAAGCCTGCAAGAAAGGAAGCCAATATTCAAAATGCCATTTTACCATCTAAACCCATACAAATTAGTTTATATACAACAATACGTAACTTCAGTAAAGAGATGTCTAACTAAAGTAAGCTCCTCCAACAAGACCAAGACAGCATCTCTTCTAAGGCTTAGGTTTTGCCCAGTATTCCTGATACATGGAATAGCTCATACCAACAGTCATTGCTCCTACAACAAAGTCCTGGGCTGCCACATGCATGTGCATCAGATGAACAGACATTTTAGTATTTCCCCTGCTCTTTAATTTGTATAACCCATATGCAACAATTGCTGCAAAACCTGCCATTCCAATGGGTACGAATGGTGCCTCTTTAGCTTTTCAAATAAGTTTGGATCCCTGATCTTCATCATATGAAGAAAGGGAAATATCTGGGTCTGTTGACATAGTGGTTGCTTGAAGAATCTCCCTGAGAATTTTCTATGAGGTTCTAGAGTGAGAAAACCTCTAACACGCCAACTCGCTGCTGCTTCTTGCATGTGCGCCCAGTCCCGCGGCTTCTCTCTTTGTTCTTTCTTAATATTACCTGCTCAAGATCTAGAGAGCCCTTCTGTTTTTTGTCCCCTGCCCCTTTTCTCTATTCCAAGAACTTACTGAAAACCCCATTCTGGCCCACTTAGACTGCAGCCCTCCCCACAGCCCTTCTGAGCCTGTCTTGGAGGTGCAAGGTCAAAATGTGAAGTGGGGACCTTGTACCCAAGGCTTAGGCAGCCTTGGGCTTTCACAGGCAAGTATAGAGTCAGAGGAAATGAGAAATGGCCTAGGTATCAACAAATGTTTGGTGGTGGACAATCACAGGAATAGGAAGCCTTTGTTCTTCTCCACCTGGGATTATAAGGTCAGAGAACCAAGAACTCAGACTCAAGACTCAGAGAATCCAAGAACCACTTAGAAGAAAACTTTACAAAGCAAACCCACCAGGACTGGATATGGGAAGGAAAAGACGGGAGAAGGAATCCTTGCCTTCTCCCCACCTGTAATGCCACACAAAGCACTTTTCTAGTTTAAGCTGCTACGTGAAATAGCTTACTGTTTATGATTACTAAGAGAATTTACAGGTACTGAAAACATTTTGAGGGGCCTTCAAACCCTGTGCCCACCTTTGCCCTTACATTACTAAGGTGAAAGCCTCCCCCAAGCCTTCTGCCTGGCCAAGCACTAACTTTGTTATTCACCAGGACTTACACAGACTGAGAGTAGTAGGACCAGTCTGTCCCAGGCCTGGGTTTCTTGAATGCAGTTAAATCTATCCCATTCCTCCCTGGGGGAACTCCCCAGAGCGTTCTCCCAGGCTCTAGCTTAGCTAGTCAGCAAGATCCCAGGGGTGGCCAGAATGAGAATACATCCCCTCAGGGACTTGTGGGCTGGAGGAACAGCATAAACAGGAACAGGGCCTTGATATGGGCATATTAGAGGGTCAGTAATGATGGGTCCTGTTTGGGGAAGTAGAGGGATTTTTCTCTAGCATTTCTCTTTGCTTCTTTACCCTACATTACTTAACTCTTCATGGCTCCCACCTTTATCTGGGCACCTGTGACTCACGTGTCTCTACCTGCAGGCCAGATGTTGCCCCTGCATCTCAGAGTCATGTATCTAAAAGGCTGTCAGTCAGGAGAACTTCATGTCTCAGAGGAAACTCAAACTTACATGTTCCAAGCTGAATTCATATTTTCACACTGGCATGTTTTCTTTTTTTTGAAGTAGTGTTTATTTTTATTTTT